TTATACTTTTTTTTTTTTTTTTTTTTTTTTACTTTTAAGCAAACTCACCAATTCTAATGTTAATTCTCGTTACATAATAAAATTGTTTTATTTTCTTAAATAAAAAAATATTTTTAAATATTAATATATTTGTAGTTAGAATTTTAACTATAGAGAATCTTGATTCATTCCATCAGTAACATACGAGTGTTAAAAAATAGTTAGAAAATCAAAATCCAAAAAATTGAGAAAACATATTGTAATTCATTCTGTGTGAATGATACTACTAATACTATATATATACTGACCTCTACGTGCCTACCATGCATGTAGATGCAAATTTTTTAGGCTTAATCGCATAGGAGAGAAAGCAAAAGGAGGGTGTGCGTGTTACGTTTCTTGTCCCCATGTTTCCTAACCTCGCAACAAAATTCAAAATTTGAATTTGGGGGAGGAGAATCGCACTTCACCTCCTATAAATATATCATCCATCCCCTCACTCTCTCATCTCATTCTAATTCTCTCATTCATACTTCACTATTTTCCTTCACTATGTTGTTGCTATTGTTTTGTTGTTCTTCTCTCCTTCATTGGAACATTTTTCTTTGCATAAGTTAGTTGAAAGATAGTGACAATATTTATTTTGTATAGGTTAATTTATTTCAGTATTTTGGTTTAATTATAGCATAAATATGATTAAATAAACATTTGTGTATGTGAGTTTTTAATTATTTAGGAATTATTTGGTTAAATATTATATGTATAGTTAATTAGTTAATGTGTAGAAATATTGTGATTACTTATATGTTATGTATATTTTTACTATTTAAATTAAAGATTAATTATGATATATGTTTTTTTAGTTATATTTGTTATTTTATAGTTTATATTTTATGAATTAAATATTTTTTACATTAATTATTTTATTATTGAGTAAATTTGTGTGAAAAATATTGTATATTTGTTTAATTTAAAAATTTGTAAAAAAAATAAATATTGTTAGAAAATTAATAATTTACTTTGTTAAAATATGATTGATTTGTGTGTTTTTTAATTTATTTTTATTATTATTTTTTAGATTATATTTTGTTTTTGTTGTTGATATGTGATTGTAAATTTATTTTGTAGGTTGGTGTTCATCTAATCTCATAAATTGTTGTATCCGGATTTATATTTTCATTAAAGCTTAGTTACAAATTTTAAATTTAAAAATATAATTTATTTTATAATATTTGTGACCATAATTATTTTATTATGTTGAAATTATTTTGTGAAGTATTATAAATTTAGTTAAATACTTAACATGTATAAATAAATAAAGAAATATTGTCATTGTTTGTAAATTTTGTTTAGGGTTTAAATAAAGAAATATATGTTTGTTAGTTATAAATCTTATTTTATACTTTAAATTTTATGAAAAAAAAACATTTATGACATTTAATATTGAATAACTTAATTTGTAGAAATTAAAGAAATGTTTTTAGGCATATTTAATAATTTAGTTTGTAAAACTATGAAATATGATGAAGTTGAACAAAATTAATTATTTAATTATAAAGTTTTATAATGAAATATAATTTAGATAAATTATATTATTATATTTTTATTGAAGAAAATTTTAAAATAAATAAATTAGTTAAATTTGTATATATATTTTTAGATTATGTTAGAATTAAATATAAATGTTAGTTATAATCAAAGTTAAATTTATATTTCTTTAGGTTTATATTTGTATATTATTTGAGATTATAATCGTGTAAAATGATTATAAAACTGAATAATGTTTAAAATAAATTATGTTTATCGTTAAATATATTTAAAGTTAATTTTATTTAAAATATATTATTTTGATATTTTAAATGTTAAGTATATATAAAGTTTAATATTATATTAATTTAATTAATGTTTTTATAAATTATAGTACAAAAAATTATATAAATTAGAGATATTTACATTTAGTTGATAATGTGTATAATTTTTGGAAAGTTAAATTTCTTATTTATAATTTAAAAGTATTATAGAAGAATTTTTAAACATGCATGCATTTTATTAGTATATAAATTGTTTGAAATAGACATTGATGCATTTAATTAGTATTATCATATTTAATTGTATAGTTTTTTTTTATTATAATGGTTAAAGTAAAAGTTGAGAAATCGATTATTTTATAAATTTTATTTGGTCATTTATATTTGTTATGATTTAATAATATTTCTATAATTATTTTTTAAAATTAAATTTATTTATGATTTCAGTATGTCGCGACAAATTGTTCATCCTAAACCCATGGATAAGTCATTAGTAAAGTTACAACCATTTCATGTGTCTGAACATGTCTGGAATGGTATAGAAGACAAAATATTAAAGGTCAGAAGAGCTATAAAGAGTGAATTGTGTGATGGGATAATTCATGATGAAATCCAACCTTTATTACATCAAGCTGAATTTTTGGGAGTGGCACATTTTATATATTTTTCGATTGACCATCACCTAATAGCTGCATTGGTTGAGCATTGGAGACCGGAAACCCATACATTTCACATGACCTTCGATGAGTGTATTATTAT